TAGACCTAACATCACTATGGCTTCCAGGAGCTAGTGTGCATTCAACTTGTTTACGGTCTTTATAACTTGCTTTTTGGATTCCAAAAGAAGTTAGAAAAAATTTATTGATGTTCGTTGCAAACTGATGGTTCAAATGAATCTGGAATCCAAGTTTCCAAAAAGGTGAAAACTAGAAATTCGTAAACAAATCAAAGTTTCTTCACAATCTGGTACAAGGCGATATGCAAATGTTCTTGGACCATAATATGAGTGGTACTGTTTCTCTTGTTGTGACCAATATATAATTATTGAGAGCAACAGTAATTAATTCCTTTGCCCTCAGCCGTACCTGCACAACTCGGTGATGAATTGCGTACACTGAGGTCGACTCCTTAGAAACGACTCAGACTGCAAAGCAACCACTGGTCTAGGATACAATCGAAGAGTTCTCGTATGTTCCGAGAAATCTCCAAAGACGTTGGGAGAGTTGAAGAACTTGACCTGAAATAGATGCCATGGTAGCGGCTTGGCTAGCGGAGATTCGGCTCTAGGATGTCCAAAGCACTGACCATGGCAACTCTGCAAGAGACGTCAACAATGTCAGCATCTACAGCGTATGAAGCTTCCACACTGCCACGTCGTTCATCGTTCATCGTCATGCTCATTCTGCTCAGAGCAGCATGAAGACTATTCTGAAAGAAAGCGCTCAGTTTGAAGCAGAATGTAATTCATTTCTGTTTCACAAATATACCTTCAACGTTGAAACATCCGGCTCGGGTAAGCTCGGGATGAACAGCTCATCAGGCACAGTTATGTGATTAGCGTCTAAATCTACTAGAATGACATCGCTGGGCACTTCCTTGATCCTCTTGTGGGCAAAGAACGACGCCGGCACACCAATAACGAATGGAGTTGGAGCAAGAAGGAGCTGGAAAAGAAAAAGGGCTTGCTAGGTTGCTCAATAGTAAAATTCTCGTTGTGAAAAGCGATCACACTTCTGAGTTGTAAGTTTTTGTTGACTAGGAAAAGTACTTGAGTTGAAGTGGTCTTTTTCAGCATTGTGTGTATCGTAATGACTGCCTTGAAATGCAGTCTTCGATCGAGCTTTCCTTACCTGCTTTGCGATTCATTTAACAATGTCACAGGCATTTTTGAGCTCAAATGGCACCTAATTTGTGGAAATCTCGTAGTGGATTGACTGAGCGAACACTCAAG